CCCCAAAACCCCAAAACCCCAAAACCCCAAAACCCCTGGTATAATTATTTTGAGCTATCAAAGGGAAAAAATTAAGTAATTAATTATTGGTTTCATTGTATATATTTCAGCATTAGAAAGTTGGCTTTTGTATAGTTGCTTCTACTTTAGAATGAGACGCGAAGGCTGAACCACTTTCCTTAAGTTCAATCATATCTTTTTTCTCAAATTGCTTATCACAAACGTTGCACTGAAATCTCTATTCTTCATTCTTATTACTGACTAGACAAAACTTTGTGACGCATTCTTTGCACATTACATGACCACATTTCTTAGAGGCAATTATTTTCTGATGGACTAGGCCCTTCTTGCAAATCCAGCATATATACTCATTTTGCTCATTTTATTCCATTTTCAAATTAACTAGGTCTTTCATTTTTATCTAATGCTCCTCAATACTCTCTTTTATCTGAGCAGGGCAGATTAGTTTCCTATTTTAGCATAAAAATAAGAATGCTAATTTACTTTGATGGTGCTTTCATTTCCTCTTTTTAAAGTGCTGGAACATTATCAGGAGCCCAGAAGCTAGTCTTTATCCATTCCTACTTTTAATCCTCTCTTTTGACTGTAGGGCCCTCCTTTTTCTTTTGCATTTCTTCTAATTACTCTTGTTATACTCTTTAATCATCACTCAAATCTTGAAGCTTTATCTATTTTGAAGTAAGAGATGCCTGAGGCATAGCAAGTTCCTTGCTTTCAAAGGTATTAATTTTGTTAAGCGCCTGCTTCTATACCTCTTCCTACTTCTATTACGAGATTGTTTCCTATTCTCGAAGGTATCTCTTTATCTCCATGTCTTTCTATTTCTTTTGCTTCATCAAATTTTCTATAATGCAAATCTTGCAGAAGAGATGCCCTTTCTTGCAGACCATCGGCTCTTGAACTTTACTCAAGCATAATACACATTGGTCGAATGATTTTTATGAATCCTCTATTTCAAGTTAAGATTAGATCTAAATTATTAAATATTTACTTCCAACTCTAGCCTTTATAGTTCCCCATTCTTACAGCTTCTATTTTTCTCCATAAGTGAATATAGAATTTGCAGTATTATTTTTGCTGTGTCGTGACATTGATTTTGATAATACTAATGAAATTAATAATTAATGTTAATTAAGATTAACTCAATAAATAGCATCAATTTCTCTCAGTCAATTGACTAATTCATAAAACCTTAAACTAATTTCACTCTGAGTCATCTGTTGTGTAAACATTTGTACTAACTACTTAGCCAACTACTCCTCCAAAAGTAAAACTTTTGTACCCCTTAATTTCCTCTTTCTTTTTGAAAACACCTGGTTTTTAAAAGATCTAATCTAGCTCTTCAGAAGTGCAGTTGCAGCTGGTTATGATAAAAATTCCTCCTTTCTTTAATCTGTACCTTAATGAGACAGCATAGTCATGATTATCTAGATCAGGGTTCATGACTACCACATCAAAAGTTCCTTTATCATGAATCACATCAAACTATTGCTAATCAAGATGTTCAAATGCATTTTAAAATTCAAACTTCACATGATCTGCATAATCTAATTCACTTCTTATCTTTTCAGATAGTCTTATTGAAAATTCACTGTAGTCTATGCCTTTCAAATTTTATAATCCTTTCTTTGCAAGCTTGAATAGGAATGCACCATTACTATATTGGTTTACTAATCATAATTTCTTACCCAGTTCCAACATCCAAGACACTTGGCTATTATTTTTCTATATCAAAATTCTTTAGTATATACTAAACACTCTTCTTTTGAACATCTTCTCCGAACCAAACTTCTCCATCATCACCAAATTGTTCAAAATTTCTAAGCTCCATTTCAAAATTAGTTTCCCAATACTCTTATTTTGACAGACGAGATTGATAATCATCTTCTGCTTTTTGTTTTATTAAAGCTTCTTCTTCACTTTTGATGTTAGTTAAATCCTCTTGATTTGTTTCCATTGAATAATATTTATAAGGGAATTAAAATTTAATTAAATTTTAACAATAAAAAAAGCTATGGGTAATTGCCAATGCGATAGAGCAAATAAAGAAGATTTTGAGACATATGCACAGACGAGCAGACTTCAATAGCATCCTGACTACTATAAAAATTTCAAGGAACAATAGAATGATGATGATGACCTGGATTTTTAGATGTCTGAATTGAATGCCATCCATAATACTACTGATTCGTTAGCAAATAATACTTATCATCCCGCAGTTCCTCTAAAAATTAGTAATATTCCCAAAATAATGAGAATGGATGCTTCTGAATTGGAATACTCAAGAGATTTGACTCAAGGGACAGCTTCAATTTTAAGGAATAGTTATACACCTTTGAATTCCAATTTCCTAAGCTCGGGCTAGCCTTTAGAAGTTATGCAATAAGATATTGATAATAAAAATTTATCATTTAGAGACATGTGTCCAATGATGGTAGATTATAACTAGTCATAGTAGCACCTTCAAAATTCTGAAAGAACTATAGTAAATTTCCAAAATTCATCATATAAGGGAGTAATAAACACAATAGATGAAAGCAAATTTATCTCAGCTTTCGATTACAGGAAAATTGAAATCCTAAATTAGAAATATGATCCGATACTCTTTTAAGGAGAGCTGTTGAAGTTAAAACCTGGAGTAAAATTTGAATTTTAACCGCGCTGGATTTAAATTACTGGTAAAGCCCTTAGATATTATAAAAATAGATGGACTAAGAATAATTCATTATAAAAACCGTTAGGAGCTGTTCCTATCAAAGCCCTTCATTCAATTAAAGTATTGGAGAAGGACATTACAAAAATCCATGCATCTTGTGAAAAAAAATGTCAATATAATTTTGAAATAGTGCTTAAGTAAGATTTTCTAGATCTTTATCTTGACCCTTATTATGATATTGTCTCGTCCTCAGATAAAAATAAACTTATTATTTCAACTGAAAACAGAAAATTGGAGCTTTCTAGATTTTAGGATTAAGATGTGGATTATTATTCTGATCCCATTAGAAAAGAGGTTGTCATTTAAAATTACTTGAACGAGACTTAAGAAACTAAATCCACTTCAAATTCTCAAATGCTGATTTTAAATGAAGATCAGCCTTACAACCAAGGAATCATGATTGGAGAGGAGAATATATTTAGCACAGCAACTCATCACCACAGAGTTAGTAGCATTCCACTTCAAGATATAACTATGCAAAACTCATCTAAGAAATCGATAAGTATATATCATTCTCTTTCAACTACTCCTGAGAAAAAAAAGAAATAAACCAAAATCTTAATGAGCGACAGAGAGGAGTAGTTCTTTTTAATCGATAAAAGGCTTATCTTTGCTACTGAAAATAAGAAAGATTTTTAGTAATGGCTTGAAGGTTTAAGTGATCTCATAAAAATCTTTAGACAAGAGGAAATGTAGTGAGATAAAATATAAGTTAGAAATTTAAGACTATTATTGTGTAGTATTTTTAATCCTTAAGTAAAAACTTAATTACCAAATTTTCAGTTATTAAACATCAAGGGGTTTTGGGGTTTTGGGGTTTTGGGG